AAAAGTCGATTTTACTAAGCACTGTGCCCAAAACGCCAAATCCTTTTCCGGTTTTTTGCAAGTTTCGCTAAAAACACAATTATGAGAGCGCCAAGTAGGTAAGAAACCAAGGAGAATTTGATAGAGACACTGCTGAGATCTTCAGAGGATTTTTCCTGGAGGGTCTTCAGCTGGTCTTGGGAAGGTTTTCAGATATTTAGAAGATAAAAGTGACCCATGGCTGCGATCTTTGACTTGAGAATTGTTCCTATGACTAAGGGTAGCCATTTTCTTTGTATACTCTGATGTTTTCATGTATATAAATATAATCACAATCAAAATCACACAACAAGAGAAAATGAACAAAAGCCAAGACGAAACCACTCTCTGAAATTTTTTGAACAGTCCAAGTTGGCACGAAACTTGAGAAACTCAAATTTATAAAAAAATGCCGAAAAATCGGGTTTTTCACACCCATCGAGTTTTTTCGATTTTTCAAACGAAAGGAAGCCTTTAAAAGAATCAAGGAGCACATATTCTTGCTCGCCGTGAAATTCTCTATCGAATGATATATAAGACATCGAAGAATAAAATTTTTGCTGTAACTTTGCTTTACGTGCACCTTACATCACAACAGCTCTAATTGTATATTTTCATCTTTTAATCAATGCACTTCCTTCATGTAGTAGATGAAGTCCGAAAAACATCGAAAACGATTTTTTCGATTAATCTTCTCAAATGTTGAGTATCGGATCTAGAGCACCGATCCGATGATTTTCGCTTGTTATGACGTCTTCTAACGCCTATTTAGACAGGACATCGTCATTTGCGTTGAATTTTTGTAGATATTTTTTAATTTCATCAATGAACCTGTCATAGAAACTGAAACTCAAGGTTTTTCAAAAAAAAGTAACTGTAATAATAAGATCATTACTGGTTTTGATAATAGATATCTTAGATTATCCGATTATGCTTATCTGAAAATATCGACTTTTCACAAAAAACATTTGTATTTCTGACATGGGACGAGTAATCTTAATTACTCGAAGAATCTTTATTCCTAATTGATTTCTAATTCGAGAGAACTAAATCATCTATATAAAAATTTAACTTTTCTGCTATTAGAGTGGTAGATTAATCTGAGCAAAGTAACTCCGATACTCCGAAATCCATACCGATTTTTTTCCAAGATTTTTACAGAAATGTGCGTTTTTGACGTTTTTTTCACCACACTACCGGAAGGCTAGAAAACGCAGGGTTCTTATATGCGTTTTCTTGCGCTATATTTTCACATGCAAAAATAAACAAAACAACGATAGTTTTTTGTCTTTTATCGCAGAATCTTTTTCTCTGCGTTATACTGCGTGTGTTTTTTCAATACGATTTTCGCAAAAAACGTTTTTGGTTTACCAATGCAAAATAACGATGAGTAGCGGTAGTAAAAGTACCCGTCGTACACAGTCGGGTCGACGTTAATAAGGTCGACCTTTATGTATAGTATAGCTAGTAACATGTGAGTGATCGCTTGTAAAGACTATTTAAATATATAGATAAGTGTACGGCCTTCATACGAATGTATCATTATAACTCACAGTTTCCTTTTTCACAATTTAGTGCAATGGGAAAATGTGTAGTTGGAGAAGTATAGCGTATGAAAGGTTAGAAGATCGAGTGCAGAAGAAGAACACATATAATAAATTCTTGGAAAAATGGGAACTTTATGCATACCAGAGCCCGAAACGAGGCAAGATATTGTCGCCTCGTCTCGACTCGCCTCGCACGCGTTCAACCTCGCTTCGCTTCGATTCGTTCCCAATTTTTTTTAAACTGCTTCGCCTCGCCTCGAAAAAAAATACAAATACCAAGTATTTGAAGTCGTTTTTCGATTACCAATGTCTATATGAAAACTTTAGTTAATTTATCGAACACAGCTGTATTATCTGATAAGTAAATAACAACTAATTTATATAACAAACAAGAAGAACGCGTGACAGTTTTCATTCATAAAGTTCATTTTTTTTATTTTTTCCTCTAAAACAGATAGTTCTTAATCAAACGAGGTGGCGCTTGTCATATCGCTTCGCTTCGCCTCGATCTCATCTAGTCTCGCTTCGCCTCGATCTCATCTAGTCTCGCTTCGCCGTACCCGAAGGGAGGCGAGGCGACTCGACGAATCTCCGCTTCGTTTCGGGCTCTGATGCATACCACCAAAAATAACAAGTCGTGTAAATGACATTAAAAATACATGACATGCGTTCACCTTCAAAACAAGAAAAGAATCGAAAAAGTCGAATAATCACATCATGTATTGACAGCGTAATCATATAGAAAAGTGACAAAAAATTACTCTTAACGGTATACATATACATGTGGCATTAGGACGGTTTATCGTACAAAAAGAAAATACTTTAAGTGAATCTTTGTATAAGATACATTTGAAAACAAAAAATTAATAATTTACAGAAATGTATGTAGATATTAAATATGGATTAATTTTACCAATAATTGTAGCACTCAGTTGTTTATTACATCGTATTCTGATATATAATAAAAAACAATTATTACAACAACAAATTAAAAATGTATTTATAAAATTGCAACATGATGTAATATTTAATGCAATAATAGCATATACATTAACGATAGGATCATTTTTATTTACACATAAATATTTTACTATTAATAAAACATTTAAAGATTTAAAATTAGATAATAAACATACAATAGATATAATATTATTTACATTACGTTGGTATATATGTCAAATAATTCCATTATTTTGGGGTATAGCTGTAATAGCTAATAAAAGATATTTTTCAGAAAAATCTATACAAGGTGGTATAACTAATGAATTAGACATGGATATAAGATATTTACAAAATACGTTAGAACAAGTTATATTATCATGTATTATTAATTTAATTGCAACATCAAATATTCAAAATATTAATCATTTATCATGGATTGCAATGAATTCTATTTTCTTTTTAACTGGTAGAATATTATTTTGGTATTTATACACACATTATCCATTAGAACCGGGTAAACGTGCTTGTGGATTTGGTTTAACATTTTATCCATCAATATTAACATAAGGATTTTGTATTTATAAGTTTTTCTTGTAATACTTTTGTGATCTAGTTAAAAGAACAAGCAACGCTTAACACAGTAATTTATTTGATCTCTTAAAATGAAACGAATTCGAAAAATCTAAATAGTTAGGAATATTATTTAAGGTTATTTTTATTGTCTTCCATTTTCCAGTCTTGTACAATATTCTCTCATTTTTACGTGTACTGCACACTGTAAAACATTTAATATCGATGGTTTAAACTAATCTGTATGATTTGTACTTTTTTAACAGAAATTTTATGAACGAAGAGTGTTAAAAATCAAAGCTTTTCCATTGAAAAAGGAGAATTTACATGTATTAGACAGTGTCTTCATCGGTCGGTGACAGAGTATCGGACTAGAACATTGATGTGCTGCGTTCAGTTCCGGATCTAGACACAGTTTTCGTTCAAAAACAGAATCACAAAAACTTTTGGATGTGAATTTCATGGCTGGAACTAGTTTAGAACGCGGTCGAATTTCAACGAAACTACCCAATCATTAATGATTAAGGATGTGCGGTAACCGGTAATTTACCGTCGATAACAGTAAGAGGAATTTACCGAAAAACAGAATTACAGCGGTAGCGGTAAAAAAGTTTTTATCGACTTTTCTCCGGTAATAATATTTACAACATAAAATTTAAAATTTACCGTTGAGGAAGACATTAATGATTCAATTCCGCTTTGGTGATGGAAGAAAATCAACATTTTCTGATGTACGTTCATAGATTTTTAAAGATGTTATTTAAACATAAGCAAAGGTCTCTGTTTTCTACTTGGAGTAGTGCTCACAATCTAAAACGTGATGTATTTAAGAATAGAAAACCCACTGTTTGGTCTAATATCGAAAGAACGGGAAAGGGAAAAAAGTCAAACTTGTCTTCATTCTGGTCTTAACTATTGTATAATACGTTTAATTATTAGAGGCACTAGCGGATTCTTAAACTTTTCCACCAAAGTGTGATACACTAGAAAAAGATTGTTCAATCAAAGATAATCCAAACCGCTTGACCAAACGTAACGGAATTACATTGTAATAATTTCTGCGACCATTGTCTCGAAAACCACTGAACAGATGCGGCTCAAAAATTTACTACGAATGTAACTCGAGTCAGTGTATCTCAAACAAGATTTTGAACAGTTGTGGCGAAGAACACATGTTGTAACGGAACTACCGAAAACAGAATTTTTTTTCTATGGTCTTAGAATTATTTCGAATGCTTTGAAGTTAGATATCATTACTGATACATCTTTGTTTGTTTGTCTATTCTATTTTATCCTTCCTCTTTCGTATACTGTGCATCTAATTCAATGTGTTTTACTTTCAGATTTAATAACAAATTTTTGTATTATTGTTGTTATTACTCTCCACACCTTATTTTCAAAAGCAGTGAACTATTCTCTAACATAGAATTAGTCTCCTTGTCGGTGTGTTAATACCATTTACTGATTCTTTATTTAATGTGTGAAACAATTTTCTTTGAATCTGCAGTCTACTACAAGTATCTATGCTATGTATCAGACAAAATATCGCAGTAAGAATGCTACTTCCACTGGCTGTCCGATTTTATTTACACACTGAAATCTTTGTGAAAACATCAAACGCATGTTAGGTTCGTTGAAAGAAAACTATTCTTAAAGTAGAGATAATTTCCGACCAAAATAACATGCGTTTGACTTTTTCACAAAGATTTCAGCGTGTAAATGAAATCGGGAAGCCAGTGGGATTAGCATTCTTACTGTGATTTTTTGCGGGCATTATTAATCGATCCTTTTAAATTGCTGACTACAATGGTCATCAGTCTCTCACAATTATGCGGAATACTCCATCTAAAAGAGGACAACACGTCATTATACTGCAGAAAATTTCTTTAGCGTAAATTGTACACCTGTGCACAAAATTAAATGAATATGCCGGTGCCAGAAATTTTATAATTTGGCTTTAACTTCATACTAAAGATCTGCACGGGCTGCCCATGCACAGCAGCCGTGACGTGAAAAATCTTCCACGGGAACAGTCCGTGCAGATCTCTACTTCATACTCTTTTAATTTTATGTCCTGATGTACATTTTCTCGTTATCCTATTCGCCGTGGAAAATGTACCCAATTTTCTAATGCAAAAGTAAACAAGAACGGAACAGAAACAAGTTCAGAGCTTATTTCTATGGACTAATCTTTTTGCCATCCCAATGTTATTTATCTCAGCTTATCGTAATAAGGAAAGAGAACCGTTTGTATTACTTTACTCATGAACAGAATCTACAAAAAGTAAATAAATATCAGTTTGTTGGGCCAAGCACTGGCTTATTACATGGAGGAAGATGCATTTTAATAACCATGCACATATTATGCACTTGTTATACACTGAAAATGGCCATTAAACGTACGTAGAATATTGCATGTTATGTGAATGGCCTCGTTGAACGCACTGTCTATCCACTCATTATGCACTGCGATGCTTTGAAACTTCAGCGAACATACACTAGATTATGCACTTTCGATTTAACTAACATATGCCTAAACGCGGCATTTCAGTGCATAATTCATTCATTTTCAGTGCATAACACGGAAATGACACAAATACATATACACATAGTGAATGGCAAGTGAATAGACAAAAATTATTCACTTGTAGTGCATTTTTTTTATGAGATATGCACATCTCGTTTGCAGTGTAGATATTGAAATTTATAATAATTGCAAACAGGAGAATAGGAGGCTTAATCTTATGGAAGCAGTGTGCTAATTCGATATATTTCTCAATCTCTCTTTTTCCTTTAGATAACTAAGTACATGAAATGTTATCTACCATTGAAAACTCAGCATCGGAAACATTTTTTCAAATATTTGAGTACATTGATGTATTTGACCTTTTTTCGGCATTTTCTGGCTTAAATTCTCTATTTAATGCTTTACTTCATAGTTCAACAAATTTGCATTTAAATTTTACACATAATTGTAATTATCGTATATTACCGATATCATTGAATGTTAATTGTCTGATATTGTTAAAATTATCAAACACATTTTTATTTTCTATTGAAAATTTTCTTCGTCATTTTCCATTAGAATCATTTGAACAACTTCGTTCATTTACATTAATTCGACTGCGAATAATAGATAATATCGATAATATTGTTAAGTTAAAATATTTGTCATCATTAATACTGTATCTGGATGATCATAATTATACTGGACATAAAATTTTTGAACGAGTGTGTAACGGACCGTTATCTTCAATGTTAAAACGCCTTGAATTGCATCAGTCTTCAATTAATAGAAAACCTGTAAAAGTGAGGTGTCAACACGGTCTATCAATTGAACATTTATGCTATAATTCATGTTTTTACTACAACAACAATTTTATACAATTACTATCATTTATACCACTAATAAAATCAATTACTATCGGTCCATTATGGATTCAACAAAACGACGGTAATATATTACTTGCGATTGACTTTCAAATAATATCAACGTCAATTCAAACATTATTGTATTTGAATTTGGTTCTATCTTCGGCAGAATTTAGTCAACTTGAAGCATTCTTAAGTAAATATACACCAAATTTAAAATATTTATCAATTAAAACTACAGATTTTAACTTTGTAAATAGTGAAAAATGAGAAATTCTATTTCAGACATCATTGACAAGATTAAAACATTTTTATCTAGAGATAGAGTTAAGAGATTATTTTATTGATGTGACAAAATTTCAAACAAACTATTGGTTAAATAGAAATATTGTTATTAATAAGTTAAATAATCAATTTATTATTAAATTTTAGACAATTTCGTTGACAGATGCTTTTTGAATCAATTTACTTATTGATATGCTATTGTCTCCCGATTTCCATTTCAGAATATTGTAATCTTCGAAAACAGTTGCTAGTGAATTGTATTTCTTTTGGAGAGAAAAATGGTTGTCATTGTTTTATCTTCCCTGCATTAATCGGTTGAAAAAGGAAGGCTTCGAAGGAAGGATCAAGAATAGAACATTATGAAGTAATAAAATGATGGCATTTCTGACTTAAGCAGAAGAAAACGTGATCTTTTTCATTAAAAACGTTTCCAGAAATGATTCTATATTACTCAGAGAATTACTGGCACGCAAAAAACGTTATTTGAAAAAGAAATTTTCCTACTAAACGTCTTTGAAGAAGATCCTTGTCCATTTGGAAGGGGATGGAGAAAAACTAAAATTTTGTTATAAATTTGTAGAAACTCTTCAGTATCGGCTAAAGGGCGAAGGTCATGATCTAAGTCATTCAATTCTTCAATAGTCCTGATTAAAACGGCTCTTTCGATGTGATTGATATGACCTACGGCATGATATCTAGGGGTTGGAACTGCCGTGTTAATATCGTGTTTCAAAAGGATTCATTTTGTGAGATAAATAGAAGTCGTGTTATGCACGAGCTTTGTAGATAAATACTAATCTACTGTATGCGGGAGAGTTAGTACCTCTGCGGAGTCACGAGGTCTCAGATCAGTTAACAATACGTTGTTGTACTTTTAACCAATTTCAAGAGAGACTTTTGGCTACAACATAGCCAAATTTCTTTTTACTTGAAGCCGTTCTCACTCGATTCACCGTACAAAATAGAAAAGACAAGTAATAATTAATGGTTGTATCGACAAAAAGAAATGAGAAGTGATGTACTTTTAGACTACTTGACTTTATAAAAGTAGTTTTAAATTAAGAGGATAAAAAGTGTTTCCTTTCAATCTCTTTTTCGTTTTTCTTCTATTATATATACCGAGAAACACATTATCTTCTTCTTGATATGCACTGTTTTCTTCATGCTCATCGCAGGAGCCTGCCGCAGTACAAACATACTGATGCTACGGACGAAACTGAATATACCATCTGTGAAACAGCTGATTAAGTACAGTAGATTAGTATTTATCTACAAAGCTCGTGCATAACACGACTTCTATTTATCTCACAAAATGAATCCTTTT